GTCTCTTCATCCTTTGAAACAATTCCTCTTCGAAAGAAGCTCAAATCGTTTTTATCAGGAACTTTAATTCTGTATTGAAAGCAAGAATTGGAGAACACTTAATATTATTTAACAAGGAAATTGGCATTTAAATAGCCTTACAAGACAACTGAAAAGAGAAAAATCTGCAGCCCACGTCTTACATATCATATGACGTGGTAAATGACAAGTAATAGGTAAACAAAAAACAGTTCTTCATTAATAGGGATTATTAACAAAGCTAACTGAATATTAAATCAATGAAGAAGGAAAAACCTAAGCTTTAACATTCTCCCTTAAACTGATTGCTGAAATCAGTTTACTCGTGTATCCGAACAACACCCATCAACTCACGCATCTTCAAGAATACATCAAGCTTCAAAGGTTTAGTCATTATGTCTGCAACTTGCTGTTGTGTATGGCAATGAACCATCTTCACAATTCCATCTTTTGTTAGTTCACAAAGAAAATGAAATAGAACATCAATGTGTTTGCTGGGACCATGCATAACTGGATTCTTGGAAAGCTTAATTGTTGAACTATTATCACAGTAGACTAGAGTAGAATCATGTTGAACAAGACTGGGCTTTCCAATACCCTTCGTACCATATTGTTTGATAGGCACATGAAGTTGCAGCAATGAACTCAGCCTCAGTAGTGGACAAAGTGACTATAGGCTGCTTCTTCGAAGACCAAGACACTGCTCATGAGCTCAACACAAACAAGTAGTCTGAAGTACTCTTCCTATCATCTAGATCTCCAGCATAATCACTATCTGTGTAGGCAACCAATTCCTTGTTCCTCCCTTCTTGTAGAACACACCAAAATCAATGGTGCCTTTTAAGTACCTAAGTATCCTCTTTGCTGCTCCCAAGTGAAGTTCAGTAGGGCAATCCATGAATCTGCTAATGAGACATACTACAAGCATAACATCAGGCCAAGTAGATGTCAAGTACATAAGACTTCCCACAATCTGCCTATAGAAAGTTCTGTCAACTTTAACTCCAACTTCATCTTTCTTAAGTTTGAACTCGAGGACCATAGGATTGTGGACTGGATTGCACTTGAACATGTTGAACCTCTTTAGTACTTTCTTGTACATATTTCTTTTGACCGATAAAAACATCATCTGATCTTTGCATCACCTCAATGCCAAGAAAGTATCTCATTTTTCCAAGATCAGTCATATCAAACTCAAGCATCATGGATTTTTAAACTCAGAAAACATAATCTCATTATTACCAGTGAATATAAGATCATCTACATAGAGGCAAACAATCAAGACCTTACCATATTCTTTAATTTTGACGAATAAGGTATGTTCATAAGGACATCTTTTGAATCCTTGTTTCTCAAAATAGGACTATATACGACTATACCAAGCTCGTGGAGCTTGCTTAAATCCATGCAAAGCCTTTTTTTAGCTTGTATACCTTCTGCTCACTGCCTTTCTATTCATACCCTGGTGGTTGTTCAACAAGAATTTCTTCACTTAACTCACCATGCAGGAAAGCATATTTCACATCTAATTGATAGATTGTCCACTCTTTCAAAACTGCAAGAGAAATCACCAATCGAATTGTGTCCAACCGAGCTACAGGTGCAAAAACTTCAATATAATCTATCCCATATTCTTGAGTATACCCATTTGCTACCAACCGGGCCTTATACTTATCCACTTCTCCATTCTCATTGAGCTTAGTCTTGTAGACCCATTTTACTCCAACTTTCTTCCCTCCTATAGGTAAATTTTTCAAGTCCCAAGTATCATTCCTCTCTATGGCTTCTATCTCTACATCCATTGTTTTTCTCCACTTAGCACTTTTCACAGCATCTTCAAATGAGATAGGATCACTTCCTGCAAACATGGCAAAATATGTTGCATCTTCTTCCTCAAAGAAATCTACTCCACTTTCATAGTCTCTCATCCAACCGGTGGCCTCCTTACTCTTTTTTAATTAGAACCAGAAGAAGTTTCTTTACTAGACTCATCTAAATTATTTCCCATTGTATCATCCGTTGCACTTTCATAGAGACCAGCTTCATTGTCTTCTTCACTGCTATCAACTATAGCTGCTTCCTTATCACCTACTTTCCACTCTAGATCAGCTATAATGACTTCTTTGTGACTCTTGTCCCTGTCCCAACTATTTTCTTCCTCGAATACTACATCTCTACTCATTATTATCTTTTGAGAAGCTGGATCATACAATCTATATGCATTTGACTCCTCACTAACTCCAAGTAAAACACATCTCACACTCTTATCATCAACTTTAGTCCTTTTTACTATCAGGAACATGAGCATGAGATATACATCCAAACACCCTAAAGTAGTTAACAGACGGTTTAGATCCACTCCATGCTTCTTTCGGAGTCATGTTCTTCAATGCAAGAGTTGGACTTCTATTTAGAACACGAATAATCCAATTGACTGCTTCTGGCCATAATGTCTCTGGAATAATCTTCTCTGATAGCATACTTCAAACCATATTCATAATAGTTTGATTCTTTCTCTCCGCAACACCGTTTTGTTGTGAAGTATATGCAATTATTAACAGTCTTCTAATGCCATTTGCTTTGCAAAAAGTTGTGAACTCATGGAATGTAAATTCTCCCCCACAATCAGTGCGAAGAGCTTTTATACACAAACCCGTTTCTTTTTCAATGCAACTTTTTTAATTCTTGAATGTGGTAAAAGCTTCTGACTTATCTACCAAAAAATAAATCCAAGTTTTGCGACTAAGGTCATCAATGAAAGTGATCAGATACCTCTCTTTGTTGTTTGAAATGGGATTTATTGGTCTACAAATGTCAACATGCACTAGTTGAAGAATCTGATAAGTCCTCCATGTGTTCTCCTTTGGAAATGGATCTCTCCTTTGTTTCCCCACTAGGCAGTATTTACATACTTTTGAGGAAACTTTAAGTTTTGGCAGCTCATTCATCATACTTTTTCTATTGAAGAACTTTTAGGCCATTGAAGTTCAAGTGTCCATATCTACGATGCCATAGCCAAGTCTGACCTTCTGCAAAAGAGTTGAATCAGCTTTCTTCTT